GCGTCCGCCAGCGTCGATCAGCGTCCAGGAGTACGGTATTGTGTTATGGTACGGTGCACACGCTACAATTTCACGACTCCTAATCCAGCTGTCTGTTCCCTCCTATTTCCCCATACTCCAGCAGCAGTCTGCTACCTTCCTACTTCCTCATACTCTTACTACTGGACGCTGGTAGGCGCTACCATACCCTCCTAGCCCCTCGAGGCTGATGGTCGCTGGTGGACGCCAGCAGACGGTAGACCTTACTACATACCTTACTTTCCCAGTCCCTCAAGACGCTGATGGTCGCTGGCGGACGCTGCCGCAAGGTATGAACGCGGTCTTAGTTGTAGTTAGTAAGTGAAAAATTTTGTGCTGTCCCTATATAACAAGTTGAGACGATCTAGTCGAAACCTTAGGCCGAATCTAATAAAGAGCCTCACCGAGCAGTCTTTACGGCACAACTAATCAAAAAATCACAAAATATTTTTTGTTTAGGGTTGTGCTCGGTCCGAAGATGCCGATTCGACGCTACGATCAGCCTTTCCCCAGCAATCGTCGGTCTCGCTGCATGACTTACGAACGGCTGGTATCATGCCGCCTCCAGGGTACATCGACGAACGCGCCGACAACGATGGGTAATAAATTCTGTGTGTCTAATAAGCGTTACATCGATCTTCGTTTTTTTCAGACTCACGTTTTTAATGACAATTAAAATTTTACCGTTCAGTAATAAATAATGATTCCAGCAACGTGGTTGTGATACCATCTGTACAATGGAATATTAATGACCATCAGATGCAAAGATTGAGTGCATCCGGACAGGCAAGAAGTGAACCCAAGATTGATTCTGATGTTGGTCTTCGCTACTTTCTAAGAAATGAAATGAAAAAAAAACTGAAGAAGGAACTTGTTCATTTGTAGTTATGGGGTCATCCTTCTGTAGCTGTGGCGCTTCTCGACAGTCAAATCACAGCTAATGGCGGTCGACTATTCACCAAGAAAACTGCCAATGGAGTTATCAACAGGGTTCATTCAATGCCCGCTCACTACCACGTCGTCAACGGATACCACAGAACGGTACACTTGGATATTTTTTGTGATTACCATTTGTTTTCGGAGGTGCACTCCTTATACCACGATCAGCACAGTACTACAGGTGTAGTACTGTGCTGATCGTGTGGACGTGGTAAGTCCCACAACTGCACCCCCGTCATGGCGCATTCCGCTTTTCATCAGGGCTAAGACGAGGAACGCTCCCATGAGATATAAACTGTGTATGACTCCGCCCACGTGATCAGCGTGGACGCCCAACTGAGAATTCTTTGAGTTTTCCTTGTGTTCAGAAAGTTGTGCATAGATATGTTAAGTAGATTGCTCAGTAGTTTCTGCACGCCATCGCGTTGTGATCATTTCCTGAAAAATACGACCCCCCCTAATTCCATCCTCAAATACGACCCCCTCCCCATGCTACCTACCACTTTCCTAGATTTTCCCAACTTCCTACCACTTTTTCCATTTTTTCCCGAAAAATTTCCAGTTTTTCAGCCAAGAATTTTCCGTCGAGGGGAGGGGGTATACACCCAGTATAGCCAATGTGAAACAGGAACAGGAACATTTCTCAGATTTGCCCTAGCCTCCTACCAGTTTTTCCGAAATTTCCCGAAAAATTTCTGGTTTTCCCCTAAAATTTTGCTGTCGAGCGGAGGGAGGTCGTCAGGATTTAACTATCATTTTCAGCTGTCGGAAATAGTAGTTGTATAGATCTTTGGCAGTCCCTCTCCCAACAACGACCAAATACGAACCCCCCCGTTGTGATCATCACAACGATGGCGTGCCCTGCTATCGAGTCACGCTCGCCAATGTAGGCTCTGGCGCAGCGGGCGCCTTATGGGTTGGATTTCGCGGGCTTGTGCTTGTCGGGTTCGCGACCGCGCTCCTCAAGGAATTACGTGCATGGCGACAAGAGCGTTCATACTTTGCGTCAGCATTTGAGCGTTTGAGTGCTTGATAATGTGTAGGTATCGATCGAGCGTTTTCAGCGGCTAGGAAAGCATAGGTATCGATCTGACGCATGTTGACACACGCTAGATCGATACCTATACTACTTTGCTTAGTCACTTAACGCTGGCGTACACACAAAAACTAATGCAAACAAGGCACTTCCTGCCGCTGGGGAAATTTTTCGGAAAATGCGGTCCCACTGGTTCCCTCCTAATAGGTACGGTACTCCTCCCCCTCCCCCATCCTATCTACCACTTTCCTTCCTAAATTTCCCGACTCGTACCACGTTTTCCAGTTCCAGCTTTCCTGAACTTTCTAATACCTCCCCAAATTTTGCTGTTGAGCGGGAGGAGGACGTGGCCTAGGCGCAGGTATGAACGCACTGCAGCGCTATTTGCGCCAAAAGTCGTGTTTCTTCAGCCAAGCGCCCATTCCTCGCCACTGCTCCAGCTTTTGACTATCACGTGTGGTCCAACATCGCAAACTTTCTGAAAATTCTATTGCACATATTTCAGACCACTACCGACGACGGACCAAGCGGCTCCTTGTTATCAGGCTTTCCACCACCTCGAGGAAAAACCAGGGATCCGCCACCTTACGAGAGAGCTCTCGATATTCAGAGAACTACTACCACCCAATTGAATCCACATCTTCACCTTCAAGTAAGCAAGGGATCCTCAAAAAAGTATTGAGGAACTTATGTGCTGCCCTTTGACTCTTTAAAAACTTCTGATTTCAGCCCAGCGTTGTTCAGTCAATTGCGGTTGGGCCAATGGCTGCCGAAGCTGCTGGAGGGCAACCGGCTTTCCCTCCAGCGTCAGCCACCCAATTCGCCACTCATGACTATTTTATTGATGAGGTAAGATTGTGGCTGATTGTAGTGCGAGCTCCAAAGGCATTTTTTTAATTTTCAGGAAGGGTTGAGCACGGAACGCCTGCGCGACTTCCCTATGATGCATCGATTGCTTACGTGAATCGAATAGTCTTCTCAGTCACCAACGAAGACCGTCGTCATGCATCGACCTCACATCCGAATACGTCACACACTTGCCACTGCCAGTCTTGACAGGTACTGCTCTTGCAGATTTCTCGGTCTTAGTCAGAATACATCTTCGACATGGAGGTTTATGGTAGAGGAGTGGGAAAGGTCGTATCGGTTTGCTGAGAAATCGTAATCGGTATATAGAGATGCGGATTTTTCACTAATTTCAGTGTTCTCTACGATCTCCCTCTCTTCCCTGGTTGACGACTTTTTTTATGGGCTAAGGAGAGGAGGGAAAGTAGAGAATTGGGCGAAGCAGGAGTAGGTTGAAAAGATAAGGGGTCTTTTTGCGGCGATTAGGTGCTGACCAGCCAGGGTCGCGTAAAGGCATAGTGCGGGATAATTCAGTATCTGGTCAAGAATAGTAACAGTTTCGCTTAATAGAAGGAAAATAACGAAGAAGTGCAGGTAAACGGCCTAAAACCTGTGAAATAACCTTTGTTCTGCGTGGCACTGGACGAGCATTTTGGACGAGTTTCCGTTGGCATCGTGCCAACAACCGCTTTGATAGATACGGCTGCACGTATGTATTCATATATCCATGTAGCAACGCTCGATCATGTACTTTCTGAATGAAGCGGTAAGAGTGCCAGCGTCGATGCGACCGTCGGCACTAGTGGGCGGGCGGTTGCGGTGGGCGTCTGGGTCGGCATGTTGCATTTTGGTTAGGCGCTATAACGGTGCCCTTGGTTGGAAAAGGCGCCTGCAGCGCCTGTTGAAGGGCACAATATTCTTTCGTGCTAGGCGTATCGACCCTGTACGCCTTGTCGATTTATCGTGCCACTTGCCTTTATACAT